GTTCATATGTTTTAAACTCAAGAAATTAAATGATAGGCTATCAAACACAGTGAAAAATTCTTATGAAACCGGAAGAGTTTCTTAACTTTCTTAACCAGATTGATGGAAAATTTCAACTTAAGATGGAAATAGAGGAGGGTGAGCGGTTACCGTTCCTGGACGTTGAAGTGATTCGCTCAAGAAGAAATTGTTCAGAAAGAAGTCTTATGCCGGAAGAATACTCCATTTCTAATTCATTCACAATTACAGACTAAAGATAGGAATAATGACGACCATGATTATCCAAAGCCTACGCTGAACGGATGTAGAATTCTGGGACGAGGAGTTGGACAAATTGATTAGGATCTTCCTCGTCAATGGTTACCCAAGTGAAGTAATACAAAGAAATATATGATCCGTAAAAATCCGATGGCATAACGGGGACTATGAAAGGACAGTAAGGACGATGAAGGATTTACTAAAGTGAATATGCCTACCTTTCTGCGAACTAACTCAAAAACTACGGCCAATATTGAGCAAATAAAATATTCAGGTGGTCATGAAATAGAAATCAACACTTTTCACAAGTCTACCAACGCAACATGAAAGGGTAGACAAATTGGGTTGTTCAGGAGTTTACTGTAAATATCATGCGGCGCTTGCAAACATAAATAGATTGGTGAAACGGGAGAAAAATTAGCACACGAATCAAGGAACATCAAAGGCTCTGCAGGAAAATGGATACCGAAAGATCAGAACTAACGGAACACAACGAGATAGAAGATTCCCATGCTGTGCCAAAGCACAGCAGGCTAATCTCGCGAATAATTCAGATCCACTTCTGAAGATATGTGATTTAAGGCCACTTGAGTCACTTGAAAAGTATGAATTTAAATGTAAAAATAGCCCTTCCCTCAACTCATACTTAATCTGGCGAAGCTAGCATGGATGGGCAACCACGTGTTTATTATCAAACTCGATGTGCTACTGACATGTCATTAGTAGTCGGTTGATTCGTAGTCCGCAGTTTCCCGATTTATTACGCTACCTTTGATATGCAAAACGCAATTAACTTAAATTTTAAATCATACAGATTTGCTATCAGTTCAGCAGCACCATTCCACAACAACTAAGCTCCTGACATTTGTGAAACATCCTATTAATTATGATAAAATTAGATAACTAAATGGTATCAATTCGTTGGCGGCCGAAAACCTCTCTCTTATCGCATCAAGAAAAGGTTTCATATCAAAGCATGAAATACTAAGTCGCCAAAAATCTACCATCGCCCCAAAGCTTTCTTAAGTCTTTAAGATAGGTACTACGGAGGGGAGGCAGTTAAAATAGACCTCGAAGCATCTTCGCTTTATAGATACGAAGTGTAATTGGGTTTCGATGAATCCCTTGAGATAACATTGTTTGAGAGACTTTCATTTTCTATGAGAGGGCATGAAGAAGAGATTCGAACGTCGAGTTCACCAGGAGACGACGGCTGATTTGCTTTGTCGTTCAGGTTGACGTCCTTTTTTACTCGAAACAAGGAAGAATGTCTTACGGACCGCGTCAACCTGAACGTCGTATTTAAGCCAAACGGTCAGGCTAAAACGGGAATCAGCCTTCGTCTTCTGGTGAGTTCGACACCTTCGAATCTCTTCTTTATGCATTTTCATACAAAATGATAGTCTTCTAAACAATCTTTTGTCAAAGCCAAAATTGAATGCACAATCACAAACCTAGCAAAGGCGCAAAGACGAGGATCTGGCTCCAGACGGTAAGTCTCTTGAGGATAGAACACAGCCTCCAAAGTGTCTGGATTGCATCGCGGTGGGGATGATCTAACATTCTGGCCAAGCTCAGCAAACATATCCCATGAACGTGAAGTAAAAGAGCTTCCGCCATCCATATCTGCAAATGGTGTCGAGTAGCAATCTTGTCTTTTGCCATCACCAATTCTGCTTGTTGACCCATTCTCATTTGTCTGTGTTCTCCTACCAAATGCTAGGTTGTCGGCCGCGAAATTGGTACCATCTTCCAATGCACAACTGTCCGACTCTGACAAACCGATTCGGCTTTCATCCATGCCGCCGCAGTGGCTGAGCTGAGCAGGAGCCACTTTGGGCATAGCACCCGTTGTTGGACACCAAGTGTGCTGCCCTATCAAACCCTTCAAACTGACAGTTACAAGGTTAAAAGCAAATCGGGGCCATGAAGGAGTATTGGCGGGAAGACTGGAAGGCTGTCGATCATTGCGAATCGGTAGAAGCGACGGCAAAAGTCCACTATTCCGCGAAAAGCCGTCATCCATGGGGAGCATGGAGAATGGGCTAAATATGTGTTTTGCTACAGTAGCGGGAGAGCCGGGAGCGAAGTTCATTCCAGCCGAGATCAGACCTGTTGCAGAGGGAAATTCAAAGATTAATTAGTTAATAAACATATTAAAATTAGATAGACATTTTCTGTCATATAATACAAGTTATAGTCACTCTAGGCTGTATGATTCATACTATGATGTGATCGAAAATTCCGAGCAAATTTTACATTTACCTTTAGCTACAGATTAACTCCGTGCCATCTGCACAAAAGTATAGAGTAAAATGCATACTTCCAGATTTGCGAAATGATTACATTTTAGTGTAAAAGCAAAGACGAAAGTATTAGTTGCTTAAGAATTACAATGCCTCGAAGATTAACCAACACTGTAAAGCCGAAAGTTTGTTTGACCATGTTAAATCTTGATGGGATGCTACCAAGAATTGTCATCCATTTAAATGAATATATATTCTGTTTGTATGAATTAAAAGGTGAAAAAGAAACAGTACAATCAGGGTTTTATTTCAGTGATGAAGGCTGGAAATGACCTTCTATGGGAATGGCATATCATGAATGTCTGCGATATTGCTCTAATCAAGTATGTATGATCAAATGTTTCGTCAAAGCCTTGTCGGAGTAATTGAATTTCAATGAATCTCCCGATGTATTATCTGCAAGCTGACGTCTATATAAATGGAAGGTGGTTGTCCTCGAGACGGCTTTCTTTATTTCCACTTGTCATCCCTCTTGCCAGACACCATCAGGGCTGCAGATAATTTTTGTAACGACTTCATGCTTAAAGCTAGTCAAGAAAGCTAACCGATACATTCCTACTTCTTATATTTCTACACAAAAGAGCAGCCTAAAGAGGGATGTGAAATGAGTTGGCCAAATTAGTTTCATGTCTATTTAAACGTATTTGCATTTATGTCAGTGCGTATATGTAGAAAATTGGACCAAAATGAGCCCCGGATCGTCACATTTTACGACGTTTTCTGACCTCTTCTGAACACTTGTCCTAGGACAGAGGTAATCTTGTGCTCAAATGATCTACAAAACATTGAGACTTTGAATTAGAATTCGCCCTAACATGCACATGCACGCATACCATTAACAATGGAAACGGATTAGGAGACTTGAAAATGAATAAAGGAAATCATTTTAAATCAATTTCCATTAATATTTGGTGCATATTTAGAGAAGACAGACAGACAATATTCAATAAGTAAGATGAGATGTATCCACCCAATTTCGTTTTAGGTGATGAAAGACTAGTAGAAGAAGAATTTTCCCACAATGATATGAGTTGAGCTGACGTTTCAATTGAATTTCACATAGCCTTGCTATCCCTATTCAATGGAAACTTCAGCTCAACTCATATCATTGTGGGAAAATTCTTCGTCT